TCTCTTCCCAGACACACAGATGGTGCTGGCAAACATCTTAGAAATGTGGTTTTGCTCAACTATCCTACTCAGAAACTCTATCTGCTTATATATGAACCTTCCAATTCATAGTTTTTAGACCACAGAAAATGTATAGCTCTACAGTTAATATACAGCCTTAGGGAAGAAGACAAAGAATTTCCTTCCATAGAATCAAACTATAAGAAAACAGAGGAAGCCTTCTGGTAAGGGTAGTAGATAAAAGGGTAGGATCATTTTGTGATCATAGCACTGAACATGTGAATAAAGAATTCTGTTATAGGGCCTTTACTGTTTGCAAGGACTTTTATGGACACCATATTATTTTATCTTTACAGTAAAAAAGCTGCATCCCCACTTCATAAGTGACAAAGTGAAGCCTAGAGAGGTTGACACACTTGCCCAGAGTCCTACTGCTGGAAGTATGATAATTTGACTTCAAGTTTGATTCTTTCCTTGCTGTGCCTTGTTGTGCACTAATGCACTGAGCTCTTAGGTTTCCCAAACACTTACCCAGCTGAATGGTGCAGGTACATAAATACAACTAGATTTGCAGCCTTTGCATGTTTTAAAGTTAACTTTATACATTATCCATAAAGCCATCAGTTTTTTTCCCCCTCCTTGGCAAATGGATTAATCCTTGAAGAGAAGGATGGCAGACAGGCAGAGAGAAGCATTTCGCCAAAGAAAGGGCTCTCAATTGTACTCTTGGATTATATCCTAGCAGGGGTTTAATGGCAAGAAAAGACACCAAAAAATGGACACTGCCTAAAATGTTTGAAATCAGTGAGGAACAAGGAGAGATATAACTCCTGTTTTCTATTCGATTCAAAAGACTTAAGGGAGAAGAGATGGCTGTTTTAATTTAATATCTTCTTTGATAGTCCCCCATAAAAAAACTGAACAAAGTAACTACAATCCACAATTACTTGTTTACTTGAATTGTGCTGAAGGCCTAACCTGTAAGATTCTTCTATCAAGTCTTTGAGGCCCCTTTCTATCCATTCACTGTCTCCATATGAAGGATATATCTCCATGCAATGGTGTGATGGCTTTTTACTTCATCAAAGTTGAGATGGCTCAGTAACACCTTTGTACATTTCTACCTTGATTTTCTAATCTTTGCTGTTGCTCTGAAGTTTTAAGGATTAGATTAAGCAATTTGAAGGTAGATAACATGGAGAGTATCTGTACTTAATTGGGCCCTCAATAATTGTTTGTAAAATGAATGGTTGGTAAGTTTCTGAGATCATCTATTATTTTCTTTCATCAGAATAACCAAATGAGTTCTTGGTAGCCAGAATTGTGTTCTTAAATACAATTCTTATTCCTCACATATGTTCTAACAGCCTACGCTGAGTTCCTATGATGCTACTTTAATTCTTTTCCATTTCATGAATTATGCTAGGAGAATACCACTGAGAAGGCAACAGAGCCGATTTTGCTGAAACAAAATACACAAAGCTTGCAGTTGAGCAAATAAAAGGCAATAAAATGGGCTTCATTTCCTCTTTATTGCTTTCTTAGAAGTAACTAACTTTAAGGGTACTGTAGGAACAGGGCCAAGAAAAGCTGAGTGTTCTATCTTGGTGATCTGTAACTGGCTTCAGACGAGTCTTCAGGGTTTATGTGAGGTTTCTAGAGTCTACTGGTGTTTAGGGCCCCAATGAATTGCAACTTTAGGGGTGTCTGTGTTTCTCTTTTCCCTCTACTGTCAGATTAGCACCTCTTCCACTGATACTGTTGTGTGTCAGATTTGGAAGCTCAGCATTCCAGTTTAGATTTCTGGTTAGTGTTTGAACAAAATATCTTCCTTCCAATTGAAGTACGTACATTCTCACCCTATTCTGTCCTCCTCCATTTACATTTCATGCTGTTTTTGTCCATATCAAGAACATTTTGAGGTCTAATTTTATATAGTAACATGTATACATTTTAAGTTGTTTGATAATGTTTTCCATATGTGTACCCTGTGTAAACTAGCACACAGATCAGGATATAGACATTTTCTTGCAGCCCCACCCAGTCAGTCCTAAGGGTAACCACTATAGTAGTCCCTCTTCATCCAAGGGGAAATGTTCCAAGACCCCCAGTGGATGCCTGAGACTGCAGAAACCAAATCCTATATATGCATGACTACCTAGCACTAGAGCTAATTCATCCTTCCGTGTTTTATGTCTGGTACCTCTTTTGTACTTTTATCAGTGTAGATTCTACTGGATATCTTCCAGAAGAGGCCAGTTTACTCGCAATTGAAGTCTCACTTGTATAGTATCCTTTTACCTTGGTCAACTTCTTTAACTCTGCTGGAAATGTGCAGCAGCTTCTTCATTGGCAGATGTAACCTCTCTACTAAAACCTTTCATATTTGTCAGTCCAAACCTATTCCCAAATTATTGTATCCATGATGTACTTGCAGTAAGTGGCTTGGTGTCATGTCACTCATTTCAGGGGATCCCTTGCTGAAATCTTCATATAGGCTCACTGCTTTCTGGTGCAACACATTGCCACCAATTGGAACGCTTTCTGTTCATGTCTTCCACCCACAAATTTGATGCCCTTTCCATCTGCACTAAGCACTTACCAAACACTATCACCATTATGTTTGCAGTTTGAGATGCGCCAGCAAAACTAGCACAAATTTCTTTTTCCTTCTTCACAGTTTTATGGATAGAGGATTTGTTTTTACCACAGATCTTAGCAATTTCAGCATATTATTTTTTTTTACCCTTTCACTCAGAGGAAGCACTTTATAGCTTCTATTTGGCATATTACAATTGCCAGCATCACTACTTTTGTGCTTTGGGGCCACTATTAAGTAAAGTAAGAGTTACTCAAATATAAGAACTGCTACAGGAGTCAATCTGGTAACTGAGATGGCTACTAAGTGACTAATGGGCAGGGAGCACAGACAGCATGGATGCACTGGTTATAGAGACGATTCATGTCCCGGGTCAGATGGAGCACAATGGCACCGGATTTCATCATGCCACTCACTCACAGCAGCATGTAATTTAAAACTCATTAACTGTTTATTGCTGGAATTTTCCATTTAATATTTTTGGACCAACATTGGCCACAGGTTAACTGAAACTGTGGGTAAGAGGGACTTTTTATTGTGACTTCTACCTCCATGAGTTGGTTTTGGCTGTTTTGGGACTTCATAACACTGAAGTCATAGTGTATGTAATTCTTCTGTACTTAATTTCTTTAATTCTACATTATACTGTAACTCATCAATCTTGTTAAGTAGAGTTACATTGTATAATTCAACTGTTTATGGTTGTTTGAATCTGGAGCTATTACAAATAATAATAATGCAAGAAACATTCTTGTACATGTCTTTTAGTAGACATATGAGCTCATTTCTCTTGGCTATATAGTCAGGAGCAGGATTCCTTAGTCGTAGGATATAAATATATTTTCTTTTAATAGGTACTGCTAAACATTTTTCCTAAGTGGGTATAACAGTTAAACCCTAAGTTCCTATCCTTTTAGAGCATAGTTGTTTTTTTTTTGCCATATTTTTACTGGAGGTTGGTGATGCTAATTAATGTGGAATTTTGAGGCACTTGCCAGCCCATCCCAGATTATGCACAACACAGCCAGCCCATCCAGATTATACACCACACACATGTTCATATTTTACATTCATTCAGTAAGGATTCAGAGGTAGAAATTTGCCTTGTCATATGCTTGGAGATGTAATAGTGAAAAAATACCCTTAGAAATTAAAAGAAAACTATCTGATAATAGTATTTTTCTAAGTGCCTATTCTCTGCTAGGCACTTTAGTCCCACTTCTTCCTCATTGCAATCTTATAAATTAGACATTAGATTGGGATTCTGTCCCAATTCTAGATATCATGATCTCATTTTTAAGCTATTTGTTTTATTTATTTTAATTTTATATGATGGGGTCTCTCTCTCTGTCTTGCCCAGGCTGGCCATGAACTCCTGGGCTCAAGTGATGCTTCCACCTCAGCCTTCCAAAGTGCTGGGAATACAGGCATGGGCTACCATGCCCTACACTAAACTATTTATTTTTAACCTAAAACAAGTAATGTTTTTAGTTTTAGAAAATCTAATATTAATCACAATAAAGTTTAACTATTGAATAGATGTCTGGTTTTGTGGCCTAGGAGCGAGGATGAATCTTGACTAAGTGTGGTATTGAATTCATAGGGTGAAATCAGAGGGGGAAATGACCCAGGGAGGTTCCTTGGATCCTGCAGCCTATATTGCATTTTATGACTGCATTTTCTCTCATTTGTCCTTGGTTCCTTCTAAAGAAGGCAGTAACTCAATATATTAAACACTGCCCAGAATCCTCAGTGCTGAACATTTTAATTCACCAAATGTTTATCAGCATATGGTTGAAAAAGAAAACCTAGGGCTTTGGTTTCTTAGTTCACATAATGGGTAGTTCCAGTAATACACCTGCATAGGCTGGAGGACACTCTAAATAATAATATTCCTGATATTTTAAAAATGTGTTAAAATATGTAGCTCTTAGAATCAGTCTAGAAATACCTGTTAGACTGGATTTTCAAGTAATAGAGTTCTCTTCCCTTTTAGAGAAAGCTATATTAATTCATCCTTTCATTCATTCTTTATCATGCATTCACACAATGATTCAGCAAGTACTTTTTAAGTCTGATGTGCCAGCCCCTGTTCTAGATATTAAGCATATAACAGAGGACAGAGAACAAAGCAAAGGTCTTGCCTTGTGGAGCTTACCTTCTCAGGAGAGAAAGAAGCAAGAAAATATATACATATATCATGTTGTACTTGGAGGAAAATAAAAACAGAGTAAGGGGCATAGGAATGTAGGCTTAGTGTCAAGAACTGCTATTGCTTTTTATAAGGGACAGTTATGAAAGGCTCTCAGTCTGTATTAATATTTGTGCTGGGACCTGAAGGGAACTGAGTCATGTGGATAGCCACATGACTCAGTGGATATAACCAAATAATACAGATGTTTTATTTGTGGGTTTATCACCATCCTTGTATTTTATTAGTAAAGGTAATTATTACATTTATCCAGACATGGATGAACAATATCTGGCACATTTAAGCCACATTGATAATAATTTAGAAATATTCAAGTTAACAGTAATATCCTGTGGGTTATTATAAAGTGAGTTCTATAATGTTATTTTCTACTTACCTAATATTAATTTTTTGTAGACATTTCCTCCTCTCTCCCCTCTTTTATTGAATAATTTGTACCATTCTTTCAGCCACTCAGTTGAACTTCGGTCATTTGTGTCTCCTGGTCATCCTCTGCACATTCTTGCTGTAAGGTTCTATTGTTGCCTTGTCTCCCAAATCCATCTCCTCCTTCCGCCTTTCCCCACTTTGGTTTTAGATCCTTCTTTCATCTCAGAATTAGCCATCCTTCTCTAATTCATGTGAAATTATTTCTTTTTAATCAATGTGAAATTCAGAAAAAGAACATAGGTTTTCAAAATGAGTCCTTGAGTCAGATTGATTCAGATCATTGTTCTTCTGTGTACTGGCTATGTGCCTTTTGCAATTTTTGAACCTCAAACATTCCTTTATAAAATGAGCATAACAATATTTAATTTATAAGACTTCAGTGAGGATTAAGTGGGACTATGGAGTGTTTAAAGTGCCTAGCAGGGAGTAAGCACTTAGAAAATGTCGATTCTTTCCAACATCTGTTCTTCTGCTTCAGATCTCTTAATTTTTACAACTCAATGTGCTCTTTTCCTCAACCATCTCACCAGTTTAAATAAAACAAGCTGAGTCTCTGAATAATCTATTTCTTTCACAATCTAAATTACTCCATCTGCAAATCCTATTGGTTCTAACTCAATACATATCTTCAGTTTCTCTACGTCTCTCCATTGCCACTGCTATAACCCTAGTCCAAGAATCTTACCTGTACTGTTGCCATCCTTCTGCCTCCACTCTGGTCCTCTTTCAGCCTGCTTTCCACAGAGCCTAAGTGAGATTTAAAACATAAACCAGATAATATCAGTCCCCTGCTTAAAACCTTCCAGTGGCTTTTCATACTCAGAGTGAGATCCAACTCTTACCCTCTCCTAACACTCCCACTCTTATGCTTCAGGGGCACTGCCCTTTTTACTTTTTCTGCTAACACATCAAACTCATGGCTGCCTCGGGCCTTAGCACTTGGTATTCTCTGTGCTTGGAATACTCATTCCCCAGATTTCCATGTGACTTGCTGCTTCTTGTCATTTAGAACTCAGCTCTAATTGTCCCCTGCCTTCTATCAGTAGTGCTCCATCACACCATCTTATTTTTCCTAATACTTACCACTATGTGAAAATAGCCTGCGTTTATTTCTCTATTTTCCTCCACAGTAAGAATGAAATGTTCTTATTCTAGGGCCCATTTCCTACCAGAGTGTTTGGCACATAGTAAATATGCTGAAAAAAACCTTGACTGCCTGAATAAATGAATGAACAAATAAATATGAACCCACATTTATATTAATTACATGAGCCAAGAATGGTGTTTTTATTTATTAAATGTGAGGACCTACCGGTTTCATACATCACACATATGCTTGTGCTGGAAATATTACTGTAAATCAGTAGTAATTCAATCCCTGGGTTGGGCTTTTTCCTCTAACCTAAATAGTTCTCAGATTTACTCTTCTCCCCATCTCCACTTCCACACTGTCACCTTAGTGCAAATTACCATCCTCTGTGGCCTTTTTTCTGTAAGGCTCTAATCTCCCAGTATCTATTCGCCAGACTGCAGGCCATTGAGCTTTTCAGTTGCTATTACATCTATGCTTGAAAACCCTTTTAAGTTTTCTTTGTTCTCAAGATAAAGACCACAATGTGGTCTGGTCCACCACCCCACATCACGCCAGCCCTCACTCTCTACTGACCACACTGTCTCCTCCCCTCCTGGTTCCCGCCTGCCACCTGGCTGGGAAGCCCTGCTTCCCGCTTCCTGCAAAGTTCTATACCGCACCCATTTCGCCCACTTCTTCGGATTTCAGGAGACTGTTCCATTTTCGGGGAAGCCCTCCCTGATTAGGCCAAGCCCCACTCCCCACCATACGGCGCCACATCATCACGGGCCTCTCTTTCAGGGCTTGTATTTGTTTTAGAAGTATGTACTCCAGAATACAATCTTATTGACGTGCGTCACCGTGAGCTTGCGCTCAATATCTATTTACTGAAGGAATATACGAACTAGCGGCCTGACTATTCCTAGCCCCTCCCCTACAACTGCCGCGCAGATATTACGCATTAAGCAGGCGCCGCGACAACGGAGAGCGCGGGCGCCTGCGCGAAAGGATACGCATGCGCAGAGGGGAGAGCCCGCTGACAGATTCTCGGTGGCGGCGGCGGTGGCTCTGGACTGCGGGGAATGGGAATCTTAGGTCCCTGACTGAGCACCTCCCCCGCCTCCCTGCCCCCGACATGGCTCAGGAGAAGATGGAGCTAGACCTGGAGCTGCCTCCGGGTACGGGCGGGAGCCCGGCGGAGAGCGGCGGCGGCGGCAGCGGCGGCGGCGGCGGCGGGGGCCTCAGGAGGTCTAACAGCGCCCCCCTCATCCACGGCCTCAGTGACACTTCGCCGGTGTTCCAGGCCGAGGCGCCGAGCGCCAGGCGGAACAGCACAACGTTCTCGAGCCGCCACGGCCTGCTGCTACCGGCCTCCCCTGTCCGCATGCACAGCAGCCGCTTGCACCAGATCAAACAAGAAGAGGGCATGGACTTAATCAACCGAGAGACGGTCCACGAGCGGGAGGTGCAGACCGCAATGCAGATAAGCCACTCCTGGGAGGAAAGTTTCAGCCTGAGTGACAACGACGTGGAGAAATCCGCCTCCCCCAAGCGCATCGATTTCATTCCTGTGTCACCAGCACCGTCACCCACTCGGGGAATTGGGAAGCAGTGTTTTTCGCCATCCTTGCAAAGTTTTGTAAGTAGCAACGGATTGCCTCCAAGCCCTATTCCCAGCCCAACGACCCGATTTACCACCCGGAGAAGCCAGAGCCCTATCAATTGCATTAGACCAAGTGTTCTTGGACCATTGAAAAGAAAATGTGAAATGGAAACTGAATATCAGCCAAAGAGATTTTTCCAGGGCATCACCAACATGCTTTCTTCTGACGTTGCACAGCTGTCAGATCCTGGTGTGTGTGTATCTTCGGATACCCTTGATGGAAACAGCAGCAGTGCCGGATCTTCTTGTAACTCACCAGCGAAAGTCAGCACTACCACCGACTCTCCTGTGTCACCTGCCCAAGTGGCTTCTCCATTTATTCCACTAGATGAACTTTCGTCTAAGTGATTCATCTTGAGACTCTTTTTGCAGTGGAGAGAGAGAATAATCAAGTTGGAGCAAGCACTGAACTTTGTCGATTAATTTGAGGCTATTTCCTGTTTGACCCCTTTTCTTTTTTGATATTTCCTGAAATGATGTTATTCTAGAGAACTTCTATGTCAGGTTCCTGCGGATACCCTTGAATTCAGTGTAGTAATATTTTCAGACGTTTCCCCAATAAGTGTGTTAAAGCATACATCTTTACGCTGCTAATATGTCTAAATACATATGTTATCCCTTGATTTTTTTAAATAATTGAGAGCTCTATTTATTTATGGGATTATTAAGTTCTGATGAAAATATAAATGTTGACTTAATCAGCATAGTAAACTGATGTTAAAAATTTCATACTTCATGCCCACACTAATTTTTAATGCTATTTTCAGTGGTTGCTGTTTTCCATTTGATGAAGAACAATAACTTGACTATACAGCTTTTAAATACTTTAGTTATAACATATCAATCTAGTGGTTGTCTGTTTTACCCAGGATTTCTTGGATATTTCGTTTTCTGGGTACAGAAGTGGACGGGAGGATAAATGATTAAAGAACAAATTCTAAAAGTTTGCAACACATCCTTTCAAATTAACTGTATAAAAGTAAACATTTAAGAAAAACATTTTTTATGAAATTTTAATAGTAATTCTAGTCAGTCATACAAATACACTATAGAGAAAGTAAAAATTTTCCTTTTTTCTTTTTTTAACCAGAGAGTGCATTTGCTTGGGTGTAATCCTAAAGTGAAATGGGACAGTGCCTTGCAGTCTTTGCCCACTATACATAGGCTGAGGCTCTTTGTACTACTGAAAGTTAAAAGTTTTTGAAATGTAGAAAATGTGTGGAAAGGCTCGTTGAACTTCGGCGCACCCAGGTAAACAATACTCTCTCAATTGTTGATATACTTTAAAATATTCAGTTGTGCCTCAGTTCCAAAAATGATTGCCAACCAGGAGCCAATGCAATTTTTGGCTGCTTTTCTGCTCTACCCATCTGTCACTTTACTGGTTTTCCCTTGTTCAGGAAGAAAGCAGCTGTTTCCTTGCCAACAGGTCCTTCTTCTCCATATCCCACCAAACCAGGGCATCATTGATTAGACAAAGATACAGTGTAACTTGGATTTCTGACAGCAACAACAGGACTGAATTGTTTAACCTCTGTGGTTAAAGCTGCAGCTTGGTTGTCTGCCTTGGGGATGTCGGTTAATTAAGGGATGATGATTTGCAAGGGAAAATCAGTGGAGAGTCACATAGGTAAATCTTATTAACTTAGGTTTTGCTAAAGGTAGAATAGTCAAATGTTCTTTTCTTTGCCTTTACAATTAAGACAAAATAATAAGAATAGCAAATTTTTTTATATTATGCTTCCTTATACCTCATATATCTTCCTTAACTAGATAGTTTTACAGAAAGAATACAAAGAGTAAAGGGGAAAAATAACTCAGAACAACAACAAAAACAACAAAAAAGCTCTGATTTTTAAAGTTACTGCTTACGGAGACTAACAATTTTGTGGAATTTCTACAACTATGAGAATAAATGGAACTGGTCAACTCTTGACAGTTGCCTCAAGATGGAGTGAAATTACATTGAGGGTAAGACTGTCTACAGGCTTAAAATTTTCTCTGGGTGATAGTGTTCATGTGCTCCCATTCTCAACCTTGTTCTTTAAATTTAAACTTAAATATTCTGAGTTCTTGTTGAGTACCTTGCCTTGCTTCCAGAGGTATTTGAACTTCATTGTCTTCAACGCAGAAATGGTTAATTTTCTCACTTCACCTGTTCTTGCATTATCACAATTGATGTCATCACTAATATCCTAAGCTAGAAACCATGGAAGCCTCTTTGACTTTTCCTTTTCTCTGTTGGATTAGCTTAATCACCAAGTCCTGTCAACTTCTGAAATGAATTTCTTGCCTTCTCTTATCTGTTGCCCCTGATTTTGCTTAAGTTTCAGCCTGTCTTCTGTCTCCTTTTGGTTCAGTCTTCATACTACCTCTTGTGTAATCTTTCTAAAATTTAAACTTGATGTTTTTTCACTCTCTTGCTTGAAAACCGTTTTAAGGAATGGTTTCTTTAGCCTCAGATAGAAGTCCTTTATGATCTGGCTGTGTTCTGAAATAGCTCCAATCCTCTCCTCATCTCTGTCCCAGTATACATCTTCTTTCCTTCTTACGCTGCAAACGCTAGACCACTTGATATTCTTCAAGTATGTCATGTACTTTAATGTCGGTGCTCTGGGATAGATTGTTCCTTCTCCCTAAAATGCCATTCCTATCCTTTTCAGGCAGGCAAATTGCACGTGATTTTAAGTATGAAGGCAATGTATACCTACTGATTATAAAATATTTAAACAGTGTACATATCTGTGTTTTTTTTTAAGTTTGCTTTTAACTGTAAAATTCATCTTCCCTGTCCACAGGTAACTTCGGTTAGCAATTTGGTATGTAATGTACAAGGTGTGTTACTGGCATTTTCGTGTATATAAATGTAGGAAAACAACATGTCATTGACACCTCTCTTCTTTTCTTTCCGCCATATCTAATCATTCCTCAAGTCTTATTGATTTTATCAGCTAGAATCTATCTCCTTGCTTCTACCTCTGTTGCCACCCTGATCCAGGCTACCAGCATTAGGTCTCTTAGGTTTCTGAAGCAACTTCCTAACTCCCACCTGTGCCCATCACACTCGGCTATCCATCCGCTCTCCATATAGCGAGTAGAGCCATCCTTTTAAAATTGCAGAGCTGATCCATCTCCCAGCCGAAAGCTTTTCATTTTTTTCCTGTTGTTCTCATGAGTATGCCAAAATGTATGTATTCTGGGCTAGGAGGCCCTGGGGAATTTGGTCCTTCCCTCTTCCTCCCCTTGTTTTCTGTGCTTTACCCTCCCTGTCTTGCTTTTCTTTTCCTTAAATATATCATGTTCTCACCTATTTTAGATCCCTTTCCTTGAAGATATGGAAACATTTATTTCTGTAAGCTTATTCTATATAGTTGGTAAGTTTTTAAATCAGATGAGGTTCTAAGGGTATATGGACAATTTACATGATCATAGTATTGTTAATAACTTCATTCTGTAGAATGTAAGGGCTTAGCTCATGTGAGAATTATCCTTCAAAAAGCATTTTTAAGGTATTAGTATTGCTAATCTATAAACTTTGTGCAAGAAGTCCTAAAGCCAATAGCAACATTTATTTAAAGTACAGTTCGTCACATATAATAAACCTCTGTTATGTTTTCCTTTATTATGCTTTTTAAAAACACAGTGTAAATGGGAGAAATAATTAAGGATCATTAAATCCAAGGCTGCTGGATGTTAGGACCCTTAAGCGTATTTAAAAGATTGATTGTAATCAAGAATAACTTGTATCAGGTTGCCTTCCAGTGATTCACATTTATTAATTCAATAAGTTACATACCTATAGCAAGAGACCACTTGGCAATAAAATTGGGGAAAGAATTAAGACTTAAATGAGAATAACAGGTCTGAGAATATATTTTCTTCTGGGTATGTTTATAGATTAGTAGAACAATTTTGAAGATCTAACAGAGGTTGCGAATCAAGGGAATTGTTGCCAGACAATGAACCAAGATCTTGATGATTATTTCTTGAGTGGCACCAGAGAACAGAAGAAAGAGTTGGCCTTGGAAAGTAAGGTTTAATGAACCAAGATCTTGATGATTATTTCTTGAGTGGCAGCAGAGAACAGAAGAAAGAGTTGGCCTTGGAAAGTAAGGTTTAATGGAAACTTACTTTTCTTCTGAAACAGGAAGGAGAATGGAAAGACTAGGCAAAGGTATCAGCAAATGTTAAATTGATTTGTTGTTGCAGGGGATTTAGGGGTATGAGGTAGGTATATGAAAAGTAGAATTTGTTTCTGATTGTGCCTATTTTCCAATTATTGAGGAATCTAGGATACATGAGGATAGGGACAGGAGGTCGTTTGGAAGCTTGAGTGCAGTAAAGGTTTAATGTTGCCTCTGAGAATCTGTAGAGGAGCAAGTTAAGGACAAGTAGAAGGCTTAGTAGGCTATGTTGGATTCCAGGTTGCAGTTGGGTGGCGGGCACAAAGGAAGTGGGTTGGATTGACTCAGTTTGGGAATTGGTTAAGTGGGTACTAGGTAAATCTCTGTGTGAAGCAGTTAAGGGTTCTGCTGCAATTGTAGTTTGAATGATTGGCTGAGGCATTGAGGATGATAAGAGAAGGAAGCAGAGGCTTATGGACTAGGGCACTTTTTTCAAGGCTCTATCTTATCAGCCATGACAAAGTATAGAGAATCTGGTCTCAATGTAGGTTTCTCACTCTAGCAGTTTTGCTCATATTTTTCATGGCTGTTAGAGAATCAGGGCGGAAGGCAAGCCTTGAGTTCCACTTGTTGGTTAAAAAAAATTGTGTCAGATTGCTCACTATAACAATCTTTGTGGCTTCCATACCTTGCCATCCAAGTAAAAATTTTCTTAAAAGTTAAAATGTCCTTTGTATAAAAAATAATAAAATACTTGCTATATGTCAGGGACTGTTCTAAATGCTAAGCAAATGTATCAGTGGATTTAATCTATCACTATTATCTGAGCTAAGTGCTACTGTTATCCTCAGTTTATAAATGAGAAGATGGAGACACAGAGAAGTTGAGTAGCTTGCCCAGGATGCCAGAGCTGGGAGGTAGGCAGCGCATCATGGTGGTTAAGAATACAGATAGTAGAGCAGGATGGCTGTGGTGAGGATTGAATGGATCCATACATATAATGTGCTTGCAGCAACGCTGGGCAGTTATCATCCTTGACTGATGAAACTCCTGCTTTCACTCAAAGGATAGTTTACTATCTTTCAAGGCAGGCTATCCTTTCATAAAGTGATTATTTCTGATGTTAGCCTTTCTTATAGTGAGCAAACATTTCCTTCTGACTTCCACCATTAATACAAGTCCACCTCTGGCAAATGCAAAACAAGCCTTACTCTTCTTTTTATAGATGATAGCCCCCTTCTAGAAATCAGAAATACTGATCCCTCTCTAATGACTACTTCTTCCTTCCAGATTTTAGAAATCTTGAGCCATGTCTTCAGTATGCTGTCTGTGAAATAAAGCTATCATTGCTTGGCAGCCAAGATTTTCATCAGATTGTGATTCCCTTATGACCGTTTGCCTTCCTGGGCCTTCCTGGGTAGGAAGTGATAAATGGCCTGATAACACGAGTTTTTGCCAGTAATAATAATAATGATATGTTAATATTTCTTGAGCATTCAACATGGGTCCGGACACTCTTTTTTAGTGCTTTACATTTATGAGTTTTTAAAATTCTCATGACAACCCTGGGAGGCAGGTGCTATGGATTCCCATTGAAGAGATGAGAAAACCAGGGACATTTTCTCAAGTCCTTATTTCTATTTTTTTTTCTTTTGAATGTAGGACCTTTTGGGTTTTTTTTTTCTTATAGACATATTTTTTAAAATTACTTGAGGTAAAGCCTATTTCCCAGCTAACTGTAGCAACCTGCTTTATTTTGCTAGTGCTGCTACTTCTGTTTTGAATCAAATGATAGCTAATCATTCCTGAAAACAGTATTCTCATATTAGAGGAAGAGATCGGGAAGATTTTTTTTCTAAGTAATAGATAAAAAATTAAAGTGTGTGGAAGGAAATCATGGTTTTACAGCTTTACGTATTTTTTCCCTGTAGCATTAATTGTATTCAAAGATTTAGGGGAATTTTTTTGTCTTAGAACAAAAGGGGATTAGTAGCTATCTATTGTTATAAATACACGGTAGAGTAGAGTACAAAGCCAAAGAACGGGAAGAAATGACCACTTTACCAAGCAGCTTCAAGGAGCAACCATATCCTCTATGGTAAGCATTCTCTTAGGGCGATTGACGGAGGAGTTTCTGACAGCAAGATTGGGATCCAGTATCAGTCCAGCATGGACACATGCAGATGTGAGATCACTCACAGCCATGTCTACCCTCAGGGGAAATGAGCCGGCTCTCTCTACTCCAATACGATGGCACACAAATTCTGGCTGCACTGGGGGTTATGGGACTGGCTTCTCTGAAACTCCTACTTAAAAAAAAAAAAAAAAAAATTTTAGTGAAAGCAAACAGAACACACTGCCATGTGTGTACCTATGCAACTATATTGCATGATCTGCACATGTACCCCAAAACCTAAAATGCAATAAAAAAATAAGAAAACAAAACAAAACAAAACAAATTTTAAAAATTAAAGGCTAGGTGTGGTGGCTCAAGCCTGTATTCCCCGCGCTTTGGGAGGCTGAGGCGGACAGATCACCACCTATTTTTAAAAAAATCCCGTGGTAGGATCAGGTAATAGGGAAAAGGCTGGTGCATTCTGTAAAGGGAAGTGAGTAGAATTGTGTTGGGGTAGGGAAGGAAGCATTTTAGGTAGCCACCTTCTCACTGCCAATAAGAAACCAAGTGCTGAAGGCCAGCAGCAGGCAGTGTCTGAAAAGTAGTCTGATATCATCACAGTCTTTGAGGGAAAATATGATTTTACTGGAGTTTTCATGTCAACAGCAGGCTCAAATTTAAGAAGTCCTTAGTCCTTTTCTAGAAGTACAAGTGTTTCTTATATATGAGGGGTCAGATCAGAAAGAAAGCAATTCAACTCTCTTCTTCCCATCCCTCCTTAATACAGAATTTATTCACTTTTCTTGCCAATCTTTCATTTAAAGATGTCTCATAACTCTTCTTTAATTCTGTTTCCTCCTCCTCCTCCGGCATAGATCAGATCCTTAACAGGTCTTTCCTTGACTAACAATCATTTTTCTTCCAATTTTTCTTTCTTTCTAATCTTTTTTTGGGGGCTGGGGAGAGTCTTGCTCTGTCACCCAGGCTGGAGTTCAGGGGTGCATTCTCGGCTCACTGCAACCTCTGCCTCCCAGGTGCAAGTGATTCTCCTCCTGCCTCAGACTCCTGAGTAGCTGGGACTATAGGCATAGACCACCATGCCTGGCTAATTTTTGTATTTTTAGTAGAGATGGGGTTTCTCCATTTTGGCCAGGCTGGTCCCAAACTCCTGAGGTCAGGTGATCTACGTGCCTCAGCCTCCCAAAGTGCCGAGATTATAGGTTTGAGCCACCATGCCCAGCCTCTTTCTAGTCTACCTTAAAAAAATCAAATATTTCATCAGCTTTAGATAATTAAAGCCAAGCAAGCAACAAATGTTGATCTTTTTCTATAGAAACCATGTTAAAAATGGTTACACAAGCATCAAGCATCTCTACCCCCATCACACACCTTGTCCTTGAAAACTGGTGTTGCTGTGTTTCAGTTTTGTCCAGTTCTCCCTGGTGACCCTTTCCTCCCTTCATTAGTTGCACAGCACTGCAGGCAAAGGAGAAAAAGGGATGGGTGGGTCCAGGAGGGACTGTCCTGGGAGACAGGCTGATACTTTTGACTTTTATGTAAGTAAGAAATGAAAAAGTATTCATGATCTTCCCTCAGCAAACTCTCCCTTCAGCTTTAAACTTGGAACTTTCTAGCTTAGCCATGTATTTTATGCCTTTAAAGGGTCTGTACTTTTCTCCATATATATCCAGATGACCCTAAGTCCAAAAATAGCCAGCTGCTGGATCTTAACTGCAAGTTAATTTTATCATATTAGAGGGAGATATCAGGAAGGTTTTTTTTTTTGTTTGTTTGTTCGCTTGTTTGATTTTTGTTTTATAGTAATAGGTAAAAAATTAAAGTGTATAGAAGGAAATAATGGTTTCACAGAAGCATGGTTCTGGTTTGGAATCTTCAATGTGAAGACTCATCATTTTCCTCAAACTTGGTAGCTTGTAGGGATTTGTTTTTCCTACATCCCAAAACAGCATCTCTGTGACGGCCAAATGTGTGTATCACCTGTAGTGGAGTCACGCTCATGTTCAGGACCTCTTTGAGCATCTGGCCGGTGACTGTCACTCCCTCTATAGTCTTCCCCATTGCCTTCTTGGGTCCCACCATTATCTCAAAGCATACAAGTGAACTATCTCAGAAACTGATAGTATGTTTGACATATGCTGGGACTGCAACCAGATTCTGTGTACTGATAAGAGAGCAGGTGGAAATTTCCATCAGGAGGAATGAAGGAAAGGATATGCTCAGATTCCCAGAGCTTGAAACAAACACAAGGATAGAAGCTGACATCATTTAACTACCTGGGGTTCATCAAGGGAAGTGTAAGATCTTGCATTCCAATCAGCTTGATACAGCATCAATCACCCCTGAATTTCAGCAGCAATTGTAGAACCTGATATATCAATAATGGCATCAGTCTCTTCAATCACATCAAAATGGGCCTCATTGTTGGTGTATTTCACCCCAGTACATTGCTAAGGCACCACTGACAATTATCCAGTGGGAAATTGGTCACCCACTTGGTGCTTCCTGTGATGGTGTTAAAAACTGTTTGAAAGATAGTGGGAGGCTTTATCCATTCTTTGAGGATATTTGACTTGGTAGCCAACAAGCCAGTTT